CGTGTTTGCAAGAATTAGAAGGAGGGTAGTGTTGCAATATACAAGTGCTTAGACGTATGAAATAATACTGATTCATATTTATGTATCCAGTTTAATGAATTAGTCTCAAAATTCTGGACTGGTTATTGTTCTAAGTTGCGCAATAGGACGGAACCGAGTCAATAGGAAACGAGACTGTTGTGTAATCAATGTTTTGTCTTGTGTGTTCGACATAAATCAATGTACAACTACAATCAGGAAGTGTTTTTCATGTTCTCAGCATCGTCGTCTTTTGAGGTAAACAGGAAAAGAGAATACATACGAAATATCTTATTGAGTGAGTGAGTGTAGTTTTACGCCGCTTTTAGCAATATTCCAGCAATATCACGGCGGGGGACATCAGAAATGGGCTTCACACATTGGACACATGTGGGGAATCGAACTTCGGTGAGACGAGCGAACCCTTTAACCACTAGGCTACCACATCGCCCAAAATATCTTAAGAAGCTAAATACGTACAATATATACTTTGTCATCTTACTCAGTCTGTTCTAGATGTTCTATAACACGCTGTTAGTATTTGGTTTTACAAAACATTGTAGTGTTGTGTTATAATTTTACGAAGATAGCATTAACACACATTCTTTAAGTTTAACACAGCTTTGCCTCGCAACCATTTGTAGGTGGATTGGCGCCAAAGAATATTCACCGGAACCAGAAAAATATAATGGATTTCCTCCTGACACACCGTGATATAAATTAAATACATTCAGAAAGTTCCACAATCAACCAATCATTATCCTGTTTTATTCTGTCTTTTTCTTGTTTTTATTTCAGTTGTTGATGAATTCCAGAAACAACCTTGTGTAAGTAGAAGCTGGATCATTCGATATCTCCCAAACCACCATGGTCCTTCCTGGAGGCCCCATCGACGCCCGTACTGCGTCACAGATTGAACAGTGAATAATGTTGGAGTCCTACAGTTAGGGGTCGTTCATATTTTACGGAGAGAGAGATGTGTGTGTGTGTGTGTGTGCGTGCGTGCGCGCGCGCGTGTGCGTGCGCGCGCGCGCATGTACAATGTGAATGTCCCCCCAAAACATATATATATACGTGTACAAAGTAAGTGACACCCCCACCCCCGCCCCTGCATGTCATGTACAAAATCAATGACAACACCCCCACCACCCCTCTTCACATATTTGTTGAAGCATAGTGTTTTAACATTTAAATGTACAAAACTTCTGACCCACCCTAGACATAAATTATGAATGGTCCCTTATAAGACGTTTAACACTGCAGGAATCAACGAAAACGGAATCAAGATTTCACACCTAAATAGGATCATGGCACGCCTGGGACAAAACCCTGAACTGCTATGACACAAAGATGGCGTGGCCTTTCGTGCCTCCGGCAATTTTGAGAATTGAATGTGTAGATTGAATATTCTGCCTGTATCCTCGTTTGACCAGTGGATGCATTTTGTTGACCAATACCCCCATAGATCCTGCTCCTAATCCAGCCAGCACGACGTTAATTTGTTGTTACTGTGACAGGAGTTAGTATTTACGGCTCGGATGCCGATAGCGACGTAAATATTTCCGCCGTCGCCGCCACTATATTAGCCAGCGGAATGGGTAGTTTTCTCGACAAGACGAAGCCAGCATATGAAAACGGTATCCGATGAGATCATGTACGGATACTTATGGAAATATTAATGGTCAGGTAGGGTGTAGTTTCTGTGTGTACAAAAATGGCGCAGCTCTTGCCTGTCGATGATCAACTCAGATTTAACCATCGCGGATCAGGACAAATTACTTGGATCAGTATCATTATCAAAATAATAGTCTAAGGTATCGAACATCTGTGTCTAACAGGCACATAGCTGTATTTTTATAAGTTTTGGCGACTATGGAATATGGAAATATATATTGTATACACATATGGCGACGACGCTACAGCGAGATCAGTTTCCACAACTGTAGTTATAGATCTCTGCAACGTTTGGTCTTCACCTGGATTAGGTGAATTAGGCCGAAATACCTGAAAACTGTTATGATATAATAATGTAACCTTAATTGTTCACCTGTTTCTGTATGCAAGTATGCCTGTATTCCGTAACGTTACGACAGGAACGTATCATTGACAACAACAGCTTCCCTTTGGTGAAGGGCAACATCTCTTGCAGGAGGATAGTGGGACTGCAGTGAAAGGCAAGCAGGCCGAATATGTGATCCGGAGACAGTTGTGACTTTGTCCATCGGTATGAGAATATTTAGCCTTTTCCAGGTTAGATATCCTGCCCAAAGCGCACAATCTGATCATTTTTAGCCGGAAAATCCAAGCTGCCTGTTAGGCGCTAGAAGGTTAATAGTATTACAACTTATTTCACCGGGTACCCATTTTCTGCTGGGTCACTTGCCTATTGTAAGACCACATGTATCAGATGTGCTTCGTTGTGGGACAGGACTGAAGTACTAGAAACCCTCACGGGTCAAACTGTCACACACGGCCACCCATTTAAGAACTCGACGCGCCCAACGCTACTTAACTTCAACTGATTTGTGACCTGAAACTCTGTGCACAGGACCACACACCACAACACCATCATATTCTAAAATCAGGTATCAACTGGAAATATATATTGACTGTTCTCACTGCATATCACCTTACCAATCACCTAATATATTAATGCATACATTTAATGAACATTTGCAATGTGTAGAATTAAGGAAAACCAAGTTTTATGGATAGACAACTTCTTTATTGCAATGGGTGCGACGTTTCGGTGTAGGTACTAACACCGTTATCAAGCAAGTGATACAGGCCCGTGAAGATCCGGGGTAGAATAGGTCTTCAGCAACCCACGCTTGCCACAAAAGGCAACTATGCTTGTCGTAAGAGGCGACTAACGGGATCGGGTGGTCAGGCTCGCTGACTTGGTTGACACATGTCATCGGTTCCCAATTGCGCAGATCGATGCTCATGCTGTTGATCACTGGATTGTCTGGTCCAGACTCGATTATTTACAGACCGCCGCCATATAGCTGGAATATTGCTGAGTGCATTGTATATACAATTGACATGGTTATTATACATTGGATTGCTAATTAGTGATTTGAGCAGAGTAGGCTGATGTACAGAGTGATAGTGTTTAAAACAATATGCAGAATGAGTTTATACAATAGATGAGTTGATGTACACTGAGATGGTAATGTGAGTTGGAGAGAGTAGGTTGATGTGCACATTGATTGGTTGTGATTACAATACACAAAAGGGGGGCATAGAAGCCAGTTGGACGAGGTATGGGTGATTTTGTGATCTTTAATTAGGTGGTGATAGGCTGAAGAGATAAAATAACCTTGATCCCATTGCAATAAAGAAGTTGTCTATCCATAGAACTTGGTTTTCCTTCATCTATCCAACTTCTAAAATGCCTCTCAAAGAAATGTGTAGAATTGTTTTTCAACTTGATATCTTCCTCAACCCTACTCTAAAATCGCAATAAGGTAGTAATCTACTTAAAGCATTTAGCTGCCATTAGTGACGCAACAATTTAAGAAGACACAAAGCAAAAAACGTCATGGAATTATCATTTATAGCATACAACTTCCTTGTAACGTATGTTATATTTGGTATTACACTTTCTTAATAAAGTACAGATTTTAGTACTTTTGTTGGGCTGAGTCGGGCACCTACTCGCCAGCACACAGAGTCAGCCGCCTAACCCGCTCAGCCACCGCGACTTCCAAAAAAATGGAAGTCGGATAACTGTTAATAGTCTAGACTGCGGACTTTGTGTACCCCTCTGATAAGTGTAAGTTGGCTGGGTCTGATGGTGTGGGTTTGAATCCCGGATGGGACTCAACCCAACAAACGTTCTACAATCTGTACTTTACTAAGAAATTATACTCCCAAATATAACATATGTTACATTTGACCACGTCTAAATGGCACTGTGTAATCATACAAATTCCTCGAAGCATTCGTAAAATCCAACACGCTAAATATGACTGTCATCGATATTTTGTCACAGGATACAACAATTACATTATCAAACATGTGTATAATCAGCATTAGACATTGAATGGTGCCCAAAGGCAGGCCAGCTGTTTTGTCAGGTACCAAAAATGGTTTAAATAGCATGTCCTTGACTAACATCTAGTCTTTGAAATGAACACGTTACAGAAAAATCACAACAGTTTGTAAAATAAAATAATTTATACCTGCTTGACAACGATACAAGAATCTGTATCGAAACGTCGCATCACTTGAACAAAGAAGTTGTTCATCCATAAAGTTTGTCCTTAGGGACCGTTCATAATTTATGGCTAGGGGGGTGATAATGATTTTATTGAGAAGCATGTACAATGTTAATGACCCCCCCCCAACTTTATGTACAAAGTAAGTGACACCCCCCTGCATGTCATGTACAAAATCAATGACTCCCCCTCCCTTTCCCATAATTTTTAAGCATAATTATTTAATAAAAATATTTATGTACAAAATTGCTGACCCCCTAGTAGATGTGTACACAATCTATGACCCCCTACCTCCCCAGAACAAAATGGGGTGACCCCCTTAAAACATATTTCTTGTCTCTCTCCCCAAAGCCATAAATTATATAAATTATTAACATAAATTATTATCTAAAAAAAAATATATAAAAAGGAGCCAAGGGACTTTCTTCATTTCAGCCTGAAACTATGGTAATCCAGACTTGCCACACATTCTAGACTTGCATGGACTGCATTGTGTATATGTGCTTCAGGGTCTGAATGACAGACTAAGCGTGTCCATGTCTGGTAGTCTGGTTAGCTGTTGACTGGCACCCTCCCCTTTGCCTCCCAACAGCTGCCGCAAGCGGTCACGGGGAGGCAAACCAGTCTGTGGTTAGTGGCAGTACGAACCACTCTCCTACCCAGAGTTCCATGCGTCCAGCCAGTATGTGACTAAGCTGGTTCCCGGCTCCTTTGCGCGCGCTAACGTTCGACAAAGCTATTGCGATATGCGAGACGGGGCCCAGCTTAGTATGTGACCTACTCCCGTTACGGAAAGGGGCGGGTGCTGACGAATGTGCGCCGGAGTGTGAGTACGAACGTATCCAAGCCTGCGATGTGCGGAGTTTTCGAATTGACAAGTACTCCTTACAGCAAAAAGAAAGCGATTGACATCACCAACATCGAAAAGTGATGTACAGAGTTTACGTATCAACATCCAGCCATGTGTTCTGGTTCGAAAACATTTTCGTTTTGAGTTACGTTTACGGTGGGTATATCACATGTTATGAATTTCAATGCAGGCGCACTACAAAATAAATACGAAAGCAAATCGACGATAGTGTTTTCATGTAATGTCATTCTCACATCATGACTTAAAATCCGTCCTGAGTTTTGCCAGGGATAGGGCCTTACTCGCCCACGTGCTTCCTTCAATACTGCCAGTAGCCAGAATACAGGTGTGTGCAGGCTCGTGGACCATGAGAGCGAGACAGCTCTTCATACATCAGTGAGCCATTTGACATGTTATTATATCGACCAGCTCTCACGTAGCTTCGGTTGTCATCGTACGCGAGAGTCTCTGCCATAAACTTCATAAAATAACTCGCCTACTTATAAGCAAGCAAGATAAAAAGATAGCGATATTGTATCACTGGTTTGACACCTAACAAACAACACACTTTGTCATGTGTTTCAGTTTCATCAATGTTAATTACTATATTGCTTCAGGGGTATCACATGACATGATCAATGAAACGTGATATATTTGTAGGTCATTTTTATAGATATATGCATGCATTCGTACGTACATATCGATACTGTAAGTTTCATGGCCACTATGTTGTGGAAAAATATATCCAATTACAACACAACCAGGGGCGCATACAGCTTTTGAGAAAGGGGGTGCGCACTATTGAGGAAAGGGAGGGTGCACACTTCATTTTCACCCGAGTTTCAATAATCATTTAATAAACTTTCAGTACAAAGGGTGTGCGCCCCTGCACCCCTCTGGATCCGCCTATGAACACAACATGTCGTTGGGAGATCTCAGAGTGCCCATGTCATGTGAGGCAAATAGCTGTACTGATCGAGTTGGATCCTTTTGGCACGTTATCAATACCTTTGATCCTGGGTTCGAATTCAACTTATTTTAGGTTTGTCAGCACCATACCTCATGGGATTCACCAAAGTGGCAAAGGTATTAAACCTGCATCTCCACACAGACAGATTAAGCTGACAGGCCATGATGCATCTAGACTACTGTTCATAGTGACTTTACTCACTCACTTACTCACTCACTCTCACTCACACACAAGGGTATTCAAATGTTCTTCGTAATATCACCACAGTGGTTTGGTTTTTGTTTGAGTTCATCATTTTGTTCTATTACCACGGGGGCCGTGGGGTAGCCTGGTGGTTGAAGTGTTCGCTTGTCTTGCTTAAGGCCCTTGTTCGATTCCCCACATGGGTGCAATATGTGAAGCCAATTTTTGGTGTTCCCCACCATGATATTGCTGGAATATTGCTAAAAGCGGCATAAAACCAAATTCACTCACTCATTCACTCTAATACCATGTTTAGATTCTACACTTATGATACTACCTATTAAATGTTCTTGTGGGGAGAGGGGCAGGTTGAGAAAATCTATTTTCAGCCAGTTCTTCAAAACATAATTTCTTTTCTAAAATATGGAGAAAACCTATTTTTACCCACACATGTTTTGTCCAAAACATCCAAAACATGTCCTTATACATTGAGAAAGGATTGGTCAAATTTTCGAAGTCTGGCACTTACAATATGTGGAGCCAGCTCTAGGTGTCTCTCATTGTGATATGGCAGGATTGTTGCTAAAAGCAGAATGCCCTTTCATTTACAAAGGTGATAAAAACTTGGGGCACATCAATATGTTTACTACACAGTAATACCTTTCCATGAAAATGTTATAAATTAAAATATTTTTCATAAAAGATAAACTTTGTGCTGCAGGAGAAAAGTACAAGAAGACAACTATAAAACAACACAGGGCTGTCACATAACAGCATTACCAACACAGCAATGGCAACCAACAGCATGACAGGGAGTTCACATGACAGTATGGCAAATACATCAATGGAAGACAGCAGCATAACCAACTCAGAGATCTCAAACATCAGCGAGACAGCTATGTCAAACAACAGCATGGAGAACGAGGAACATGAATCCTTCAAATCTGCAGTTCAGTTTGAAAAACAAGTTGATGAACCACCAGTTGTACAACCAAACAAATCCTCAAAGCATTCTAAATATATGTGTGGCATGTGCATCAAGTACTTTGAAAAGAGGTCTCAACTGAAAACCCACCTTAGTCGATACCATGATGGAACTGACAGCAATTTGTGTAGCATATGTGGTTGGCTGAACACCAGGGAAGTCGACATCTCAGGCCACATGCGGTCTGTACATCCATTGTATAAACAGTGTGATCAGTGTCAAAAGTGGCTCTACTCTAAACGTCGACTGAATGTACACATGGTTCAATTTCATGCTCCTGCAACTGAAAGAATCCAGTGTCACTTCTGCAGCAGCTCGTTCATCAGACAAAAGACACTAGCAACACACATGCTCAAGTTTCACATGCTGTTGCAGTGTTTGGAGTGTGTGGAGTATTTTACGGAAGATGAAGATCTAGATGTTCATCAGAGGAAATGTCATTCAAAAGCTGGTCGGAAAAGAAAACAAAGCAGGGCTACACAGAACCAAGTAAATGAATGTCTTGTAACCAGTACATCACAGGAAAATGATGATGTGGGGCAGGACATATGTTCCAGTCCAGAGAGTCTGTCAGAGACTAGCCTGATTGATGAGAGTGTGAACTGTCATGACTCTGACACAGTAATTTCAGACAGGATTGACAATGATGACACTGAGTCAAATACTGTGTCATGCAAAGACATCCAGAGTATTCAGAAACTGACTTCTCTTAGGGACAGACATCTGGAGGTATCCCTTTGCTTACAGGATAAGGTTGACACGAATGAGAGTCATTCTATGGATAATATGAAAAAGTCCAAGGTTGAAATCAGCCAGTCAGGACTCCACTGTCCGTCCAATAAGTTAAATCAGGCAAAGGACATGATTTCTTGCAAATATTGTGATCTTAAATTATCATGTAGGGCATCCTTTTCTAATCACATGATACTTATTCATGAAGCCTGTGAGTGTGAATACTGCAATGGTTGGTTTGAGAATAAGAAGATTTTATTGGATCACTCGAGGATCTGTAACAGAAGTAAACTCAGTTACGGAACCAATGCCAAGGACTGTAATGTGAATGACTGTAATTCAGCTTTCCCTATATGTCAAGCACAGCAGACAGCATTTGAAGATCCTACAGAGGAAAGCCTTGCACCAGTCGCATCCTTCACCTGCAGTGTCTGTAACATGATGTTCACAACAATAGAGTCCTTGTCCGATCATGGAAACAGTTGTCAACGAAGCTTTGAATGTTCCATCTGTGATGAAATGTTACAGAATGAGGCAGCGCTTTCAGATCATGTCCAGTTTGTCCACCGAGTCGGGAAGAACTACAACTGTAGCCTGTGTGAGAGGCTGTTCCTCAAAGCTAGCAGTCTCAAAAGACATCTAACAGCAACACATGGTGACAGTAAAGTTGAGAAACAGGTTATCAAACTTCCAAAGAGAAAATATATGCACAGATGCTGCCTCTGCAGAAAGGTATTTTCACAATACAGCTATCTCAAGATGCATTTACGACTTCATGTGAAGGAGAAACAGCCAAAACGTGGAGGTAGGGTCACAGGGAGAGTTGTTACAGAGGACATCAACAACTTTGGTGTTTCTTACAGTTGTACTGATGAAAGTCGGAAGATCCCAGTGGAGTCTGTTACTGCAAACTGTGGTAAGAGCAGGACTGCAAGAGAAGAGTCCCCTTCCTTCAACACTGACAATCAAATGCGTAAAGACAAAGCTGACAACCTTGTGGGATGGGATAGTAGTGGGAGGGTGAAGGGCAGTGGAGGATGTGATGGAGGACGTGTTTTGAAAGATGTTGACATGGCCTCTGATGCTGATACACAGTGTCATGAAGGAGGTAGTCAGCAGATGGAAAATGTGAATTGTGAGAATATTGTTCACCGAAACACAGACACACAATCTAAGGTTCATCATTCGATGGACATTGGCACGAACTCTATGAGTTTGGCGAACAGTGTGAATAATTCACAGGTTGGGAAATGGAAAATGAACACCATCAATGCAATGGGAAATGGGAACAGAAGGTATGTGGGCAATCCCTTGGATGTAACAATGGCAAAGAATGTGAATGACACAGAGGCAGATAGTGCTGTAGATGTGAACAGCATCATTGCTTCACTTGTTGAATCTCTGCCTGTTGATCAGTGTTCCAACGATATGGAAACAAGCAGTGCTGTCCAAAGCATCCTTGATATCCCTGTTATTGAGCAATCGCATCACCTACATCACACTGAACATACTTTTACCGCTCCTTCAGAAGATATTAACTGTAGCCATAGACAAGGACTGCGATTCATTAATGAGGAAAGCAGAAACAAAGACAATTCTGAAGTTTGTCAGCAATCTGAGACCTTAGCTTTGGAGCAACTGTGTGAAGACAATCATGTGTCCAAAGATCATTCTTACATGATGACCAGACATCCTCCTGATGTCCTTTCTGAATATCCTTCTGACCTCAATACCAATGATCCTTCAGATGTCATTTCTGAAAATCCTTCTGATATTATTTCCACAGATCTTTGTGGTTTCAGGACTGCAGGACAAAGCAGTAGCCATATTATGGCATCTAATGACCGGAGTAAAACCTCACCGATTGTGCTCAGTCGTGAAGAAATAAAAGGCAGTGATAAGGAAGACAACAACAGCTGTGTGAACAGCACCAACTGCTCTGATGAGAAGGACCACAGTGTCTGCAATGAGGACAGTAGCTCCTCTGGGGAAGATAACAGCATCAACGGCAGTGACAACAGCTGTGATGCTGACTGCAGTGAGGACAACCCCTCTAACAGCTCCAGTGATAAAACCAGGGAGAGCCACAACTTTGAGTCTTTTCAGGAAGGTAAGGACATGGATGCAGATCAGGAACTGGAACTGCCTCATGTAGAGACTGGGGCATGTACTTTCACAAAGTAAATCACTTGATGTACCTCCATCAGCAAGAGGATGGAAGCAGGTGCATAAGCGGAGTCGTGAGACCAGCCAATGTCATCAGATGGCTCATATGGGCAGTAAGGGATGCTGCAGTTCGTCCTGTGCAGCTCTGAAGGGGAGGCATGGCAGGAGGGATGTCCACTACATGTGTGGGATATGTCGCCAGATCTTCAAGAACTTGGAGATCCTGCAGCACCACAAGGTAGCCCAACATTCCTTGTGCTGTGCAGCATGTGGACTGGTGTGCAGTAGGATGATTGACCTTCTCACTCATTATGAGTTCTGTGATGGGTGATCCTATTCAGAGGAGAGTCATATGGTCACATGTTGTGTTTTAAATACATGTATCTACAAGGGGTGTACAAAGTATAGCCATCTTGTAATCATGTAATGTCTGCAGAAGTGATTTCATGAAACATTCTCCTAATGCCAGTTTTTCTGAATGCATACATTGAAGGCAACTAGCATAGATTTTGTTTCACTTAGAATTTTCATATCTGTAGTTTGATAGATCATAGGCTGTTCTTAGATATTTTTTTTTTGCATCAGTGACGAGAATATGTTTGGTTTGTCTTTAGCCTGATTGCTTTTCAGTCTTGTGTAGGCAACAGTGATATCTTGTCAGCCATCACCTCTTAGTCAAGAAGTCTGTATTTACAAGCAAGTCAATGAAAGTTGTTATTTTTAACATATCCTTTTTGGCAATGTCTACCATATTTGAATTTCTACTATGGCTGTGAAAAATACTCTTTTGTGTATACAGCCAGAGGTTTCAAGTCGCAATAGCAGACTCAGATTGAAGAATATTCATATTTGTGTGGAAGTACATTTTCCATAAAAAAATAGCATTGAAATTGATTTAGATATTAATTTTACAAGGTTTTTGGCATGATATATGGTGCTTCTCTGTCAATGCACAACACCTGCCTCTCATGCCTGTTAGGGATGGTTTGAGTATCTGAAGGAACAGTCTGTGATTGTACTGAGATGTTTTAGTTCAAGTGACAACCTACTGGAAATATCTCAACTCATGTCACTTAACTCAATATTTTAGCTAACTTCAAACTTTGTCATGGTAAAAGGGAGTTATGTATTCTTTATTATTCCCCGCAACGTGTTCTGCTGGGGGTATTAATTTTTCTTTTCCGGAGCAGAACATAACACAAGTTCAATATTTCTTCACCAAACATTGCACATAGGTAGGTCTTGTGGTGAACTGGTGCCTTTTGGTAGTTTTGGATTTCTGAAGAAACTATTTTGTGCGTTTCCATGGCAACAAGTGTGACTTCCACTGGTGCAGAACTTTAAAAACTTTCAATATTTCACCAAACTTTGTACATAGATAGGTAGTTTTGGATTTCTGAATACAATAATTTTTGTGTTTCCATGGCAATAAGTTTGACTCAACTGAAATTTGTGGTAGTGCTCCTTTCCAGAGCAGAACTTTAACACTTTTCAGTACTCTCCTTCCACTTTGTGGGTGTTCGAGAACCTAATAACATAAATCATCAGTACCACTCTATTTCCAATATCAACATTACTGAGGTACATCAAATCAAACTGTAGAATCACTCCAGCAGTCTGTTGTTGATACATGCACGCTAGTATATGAATAGTTTACATGTACCATATATGTTTTCATAATATCAATGTGAAGAACAATGTAACATTTGACATAGTCATAACCAGTCAACATATTCATGAGGAGTATTTTACCATTGCAGGGCATATTGATGACTTTGTCTTCTTGTTTTCTTTGAAGAGTAATGCATCCCCTGTGTCTCCAGGGCCAGTATTGTTGGAGACACTTTATGAATCTTTACCTGTGTACTGGCAAACAAGGATAAGTTGAGCACCGAGACACTTTATCAGTCTTTACCTGTGCACCTCGTACTGGCAAACAAGGGTAAGTTGAGCACCGACCTGACAATTGACCTTTATTATTCTGTATAAGTGCCGCCCACTGGAGCTTGCCATTGTGAGCAAAAGGGCCCTAGGTTGTTCCAGATCAAGTGTAGTGCGATGGGTGAGAGGCGTGTGGCCTGTCTCAGCAAACTCTGAGTGCAGGTACGCACGGAATCAATTTCATCATCATGCAATGCACGTGCACTAGCCTACATCTGCTGTACCTGTCACAAACCAAATGGATTTGCGCGGTCCAACTTATCCTTGTTTGCCAGTATGTATTTACGAAGGAAAGAATGTATGGATAGGGATTACAAGCATGCATGTTTAAACAAAGAAAGAAATTATGGATAGAGTCATAGAATAATGAAATGACAGGGGTAATACGTATGAAAAGACCAGAGAATAGTATGTTAATAAACCCAAGAGAACAATGTGTTGATAAAAGAAAACCAATGTTTGGATAAAGGGAAAATTATGAATAATATAGGAAGCGAAGAACTTTTCGTAAACGTGTTGTCAGCGCCGGTTCATAATGATGTTTTAGTATATCATGTCCCCCTGCCAGTCATCAGTATGTCAGCTAGTCAGTCAAATATCCAGATCAGGTAACACCACTCCTCCACCTGCATGGGATGTGGTTGAAAGGCTGATATATTTTACATCACTAACTCATGTGTCTGTTAGTGTTGCAGGTTATTGTTGCAGCATGCTTTAGTACTTGGTTTATGTTAAGAGGTATTTTTTTACATCTGGACTTTCTTAATGTTAATATTCCAACTTCATGCGAGTTGTGCTGTTATGGTTATCAACAGATACAGTAACACTTTCAGTTTTCAGTTTCTGTCTGAGAATGTTAACTCCCAGAGAGAAAAGTAAATACATTCCATAGCTTCAGTAGCTCTACTGACATTCCATAGCCTTAAACATGTAAGAGTTATGTCCCTTTGTGTTCAGTCAGTCATGCCTTGTGATGTTCTCAGGGATACATGCTTATAGTTTCTGTAGGTGAACTTCATTGTTATTTTCATTTTCATCTCCGAGCTGAATGAGCCAAGATTTGATATCATTTTCATTTAGGTCAAAATGTAATGTTATATTTTATATGTGAAGAAACAATTGTTTATGTGCCAAATATTTGAATTCTTATCCAAAGTTGGGATGTGAATCACTGTTATGTTACGTTTTAAAAATATTCATAGGTGTGCCAAATATTTCTGGTAGTATTCTGGGAAGTACTTTATAGATTTGTTGCTATACAGATAGCTGGAAGAGTCTGAGTAGCAAGTAGATCATGTGGTTCAATTTTGTCTCTTTGACATAAAGTTTGGTTGTCTTTAAGCAGAACAAAGTGCTATTTCTGTGTAGTTAATATTTAGTTTGTATTTTCAGTTGCATGTTATGTTTATATTTCTGTGAGAGAGGGCTTTCTATCCTCGGGCCTGGTTCCATGTAGTTATAGAAACACTACGACGTCCTGAGGTCTGTTAAAGTATACAACCTTCTTACCACAACAATCACTTTGTAGAACGGGTGCCTGAACCACCATTTTTCATAAAATATACGATGCATTTATCATTTAAAATGTTCCACTTGCCTTTTGTTAAATTTTGATGGTTTTTCTCCAATTGCATTTCATGACTATAATCGCATTTTTATTTGACCTTTTAACAGTTCAGTCAGGCATGTAAACTAAAAAACTGACAAACTCAATATTTTTTATATTAACATGCTGTTTCCCTAAGACCCTAAGAAATATTTATTCTGTTTTGTTTCACATAAGACCAGTAGGACCAATGAATAACACTAAATTTAGGAACATAATGCAGATACTAATACTTTTATTTGAAGGCTGATTCCAATAGAATTCAAGGGCTTCAGCTAGATAATGGGGGCCCAGTGCAAGAAACAACCTTTGCAGTAAGGTGATTATAACTCCCATACCTTAACATGGACTTACAACAGTTTTAGTGCTAAGACTTCGTACAGCAGCACCCTGAGGTAATAGTCCCTATGTGTAATACTGCAATTCTTTTGCAGGTCATCACTGAAACATATCTTATGACAGCTTTGAATCGTTATCTATGCTATTCTAATTATTGATAATAAATGGAAGTTTAGTGGAAGATAGTGGAGGAGGAGCTCATAGGAGTTCACTCCAAGTGCTAACTTTTACCATATGGCTGGACTTCTTATCACTGTCTTTTGTGTTATTGGAAAATTAATACTGACAAAGTAAAACTTTACAATACACCAGAATTTGTGGTAAATACCAGTTTGTGTGATCCTATCTGCATATAGAACCTGTTTTGCTTAGCCAAATGAGTAGTGGATCGAAGATAGTCCCAAATTTTAAATCACTGATCATTGAATTTTCATCCCATTTTTTCTGGATAGTAATAATGGAGGCAGTTTTGTTGAGTTTTTTATTGCGCAAACATTTGAAGGAACTTTTGTATATAATTTGTTAAAGTTTCGTCATCTGTAGGTATTTGGGCATGAAAAAAGGTTTAGTCAATGTGATCCAATGAATACCTAATTTATTATTTTCTGAACTATTAGACTTTACTGGTTTTGTTACTTACAGACTTGAGGTATATATATTTGTGCCATGCAGATGAATTGTTTTATGGTTGATACATGGGAGCATTGTAGTGACAAATTCAAAGTACATTAATGAAGAAGTCATCCCTTATGTAACTTTCAGGATGTTAAACCCCAAGAAGAAATTAAGCGTCTGAATCTCCAATATTTATAATCACACAATATTATGACAGTTACGTTTATTTGTATGTTCTGTCTACAGTTACCATGGGGCAGGTATTTGTCTTTTGTAACATTTTGTTCACTTACTGTCACTGTTTTTTGACAGATTTCTTTTTTTCATGGTGTTTAAAAACAGTTTTGTTTTTAACAATGCATTGTGGATCCAATCTTTGAGGGGCATTTAGAAATGGAATGCATAAGAAAAGCAAGATTTATGGATCTCAACTTCTGGATTGCGAATAGCATGACGTTTCATCACCTGATGATGGAGCAAGCATACACTCCGAAAACGTTGTGTTATTCACAATGAAGAAGTTGACATCCATAAATCTTGCTTTTCTAATGCATTGTGGAAATGCCTTTTTTGTCTGTCATCATTTTCATTATATTTTATACTTTAATAGTTTTAGTTATTTGCCAAGCAAATGTTTGTCAGAAATTGTGCTTTTGTTGATCTGGTTGGAACCTCATGCCAAACTTGTAGTTTACTATTATGTGTGTGTGTCAAGGGTGGTCAACATGGCAGTGTTGTTCCCATTTGCCCAGTGCTTAAGTTTTGATCTATATGTGGATTGTGGACTCTCAATGGCTTATTATTATAAAGGGTAGTGAGTTCACTCACTCTATCAACCACAGCCCCTGTTACGCAAGCCATTGTAACTCCAAGACGTTCAGTTCTCCTATACTCTTCACTGTAATATTGGTGGATTATTGCTAAAAGCAGTGTAAAGCTTACTTCACTCACTCACTCCTATACTACATTGGCTGACAACATGTTTGGGGATAAG